CAAAGGGGTCTACACCCCAATTGCTTCATCAGTGCAGAGGTGGTACACTGGCTTATCAGTAACGTCGAAGGTGTGCAGACACAGTCAATGGCCATCGATATCATGCAGGTAGTGTACACAAGCAACACCATGTCCCAATCCAGTTTGTCTCGGGCAACTTGAAACAGAGTTTGTGTTGAACAAGCTGACCCTCTGCTGCAGCTGTAGGGTCTACTACTGATCTCATGTCTGCCCTGACTGAGAAGAGCAAATTGAGCCAAAGTCCCCACTCCGTAGTTACTGCAATCTTCTGGAAGCAAAGGGGTTTCTGCGACAGGCTGCAGGACCACTGAGAGCCCCCCTTTAACTCCTGGTGGGAATCCGGACACGCTGTGTACCGTTCAGAGAATTAACAGGGATCCAGGTGAGGTTTGCTGCTCTCAGTCTGGGTGACCGTGCGTGTGTGTGAATGTGGAGATGGCTCCACCATGTTGCTGCGGAGGCAGCTGCACTCTGGTGCTGTGCTGGGTTTGCCTGTGTTGGCGGGCACTCAGAGTGTGGAGAACCTGACCTTGCCCTGTATGTGTTGCTTTCTGCAGAAAATGCTGGACGAGCAGCTGATTGTCCATGCGTTTGGGGAGTCCATGCGGGCATTTGTCTACGGCTTCTACCTGTACAGGCTTGTCACCGACAAAGACACCGAGAAAGGTAAAGATGTGTGTTACACATGGCGCGCAGTCACAGTCTGGCTTTTTAAAGAGACCTTTTGCTTAAAGAATGACCGACCCGAACCCTAAAGCAGTTCCCCAGACCCTGGTACCTCCTGCCATCTTGTCCAAGGCAAAGGATTCAGGGAGCTGTATCATCCTGCCTGCTGCCCTCGTCCATACACCATTTGTGGAGAGTGAGGCATGGACGGAGACTGAGGGGTGAGTGTCAGCATTGGCTACTCACATGTGAGATGCCTACAGTGAGAGGAATGAGTAGAGATGTAAGTTTCTTCACCTGTGGCACGCCATGCAAGTAAACAGTCAGAGGCTGTCTAACGGTGTTCCTCCACTGAGCTCTCATGTTCTCCTGCCATGCTGGGGGCATCTTGGCACACTGAGTACCCATCAGCTGGGCTGCAGTAAGAGACCTCATGAGAGTGAGGGTGGGGTGGGGAGCAGCCGTTCCTGTAGGGGCTGTGGCCTGATGCTGCTGCATGTATCAGGTCCCTTTAGACCAAATGGTCATGTCACCTCCCTCCCAGTCGGTCAGGGAGTCTGATAGTGGGCTGTTTGTTGCTTTGATGGGGAAAGCAGCTGGAAGGTTGGCTCAGGGCAAAGTTGGAGTCACATTCCGAAAGTGGTCTTGCTGTCACAGACGGTAATAAACTTCCACCCTGTCAGTCTGAGTGACTCTGTATTACACATGTTTTCTGGCATGTTTCCCTCTTTAAAACAGTGACTCACTTCATTAAGTACTTGATTGACTGTAAAACATATTTGGATGCCCTGAGGTTGTGAAAGGCACTATTATAAATGTCAGACTTCCTCAGACCAGGTTTTACGACCGTAAGACACAGGAGCTGGTTTAGGCCATTCAGCCCATCAAGTCTGCTCCCCCATTCGAACACGGCTAATGTGTTTCTCAAACTTATTCTCCTGCCTTCACCCCATAACCCTTGCTCCCCTTACTAATCATAAACTTATCTATCTCTGTCTTAAATATACTTAATGACTTGGCCTCCGCAGCCTTCTGCGGTAATGAGTTCCACAGATTCACCCCCCTCTGGCTGAAGAAATTCCTCCTTATCTCAATTCTAAAGGGTTGTCCCTTCACCCTGAGACTGTGCCCTTGGGTCCTTGTCTCTCCTACCAGTGGAAACATTTCCTCCACATCCCCTTTATCCAGGCCTCTCCGTGTTCATAAGTTTTAATGAGATCTTCCCTCATCTTTCTAAACTCCATCAAGTACAGACCCAGAGTCCTCAACTGCTCCTCATATGACCAGCTCTTCAGCCCTGGGATTATTCTTGTAAACCTCTGGACCTCGTCCAAAGCCAGCAAATCCTTCCTTATATACAGGGCACAAAACTGATCACAATATTCCAAGTGTGGTCTGACCAGAGCCTTATACAGCCTCAGCAGTGCATTCCTGCATTTGTATTCTAGCCCTCTTGAAATGAATGCTAACATTGCATTTGTCTTTCTAACTGCCAACTGAACTTACGTGTTAACCTTGAGAGAATCCTGAAGTAAGACTCACAGTCCCTTTTATGTTTTCAGATTTCTGAAGCCTTTCACCATTTAGAAAATAGCCTACGCCTCTATTCTTCCTACCAAAGTGCATAACCCCACACTTTCCCAGACTGTATTCCATCTGCCACTTCTTTGCCCACTCTCCTAACCTGTCCAAGTCCTTCTGTAGCATCTCTGCATCCTCAACACAGCCTGTCCCTCCACCTATCTTTGCTATCCTGAAAAAGATCCCTTCATTCCCACTCTCTGCATTTTGCCAGTCAGCCAATCCTTTATCCATACCAGTTACCTTGCCCCTAACACCATCGGCGGTTCTCTTATTTAGCAGCCTCCTGCACTGCACCTTGTCAAAGGCCTTCTGAAAATCCAAATAGATCCGGGCAACTGGCTCTCCTTTGTCTAACTTGCTTTTTACCTCTTCAAAGAATTCTAACAGATTTGTCAGGCATGACCTCCCCTTGAAAAAGCTGTGCCAACTCAGCCCTATTTTACTATGCGTTTCCAAGCATTCTTCAATCTCATCCTTAATAATGGACTCTTAAAATCTTACCAGCAACTGAGGTCGAGCCAACTGGCCTATAATTTCCTGTCGTCTGCCTCTCTCCCTTCTTAAACAGGGGCGTTACATGATTTGATTTATTTATTGTCAGGTGTATCTTGTTACAAAATACAGTGAAAAGTGTTGTATAGTGTCGCCACTCTCCGGCGCGATCTTAAAGCACAAAAATAAACCAAAACGTTGAGTATAAAGGCAGAAAAGTGAAGAAATAAAGAAGGTAGTTAGGTAGTAATCTGTAGATTATGACTTTCTGTTCTTTTACTTTAGCCCCTAGCTGCTCATATTCCCTTGGCAGTGTTGAAGCCCTTTATTTTTTTCCTGTTTCCATGGGGTACATTTGACTGGTGCTTCTGGCAATGTGACATTTATTGAGAAAATGACTAGTTTCTGCGTCAGGTTTCCGATCTATAAACTGTCTCAAACTAACCCCCACCACCCTCCATTAACAGGGAACCTGCAGTCCTCCACGATCTGGTACACCTCAACAATGGATGACCTGGCTGCATTCCAGCGCAAATGGTTCGAGGTGGCTTTCCTCACAGAGGAGCGGCTTCACGTTGACATTCCTGCCTTCCTGTTACCGTGGTTACCCAGTAGGCCAGCGTCCTATGCAAGTAGGCACAGTTCCTTCAGCCGCAGTTTTGGAGGACGAAGTCAAGCTGCTGCCTTACTAGGTAGATGCACACCACAGGCAGCGGGGGAATGGGCTCCAAGGGGATGAGTTCATGTGGACTGTTGCTATGTGCTTTCTCCCGTTCTCCGTGCCAGCTGCTCAGGCTTGTCTGTATTTACCTGTTGTGTAGCCTCTTCACAAGGCAGCAAACCCCCCTTTGCCTCCTTCTAGCTTCCTGAATCTAGAGCCCACACAGACTGGATCAGTTGGAATGCTGACAACCACCTCACTAAAAATGCATGAAATTCTTGTTTTGTCTAAAGGTGGGTGGGGAGAGGAGGAGGAGGAGGAGGGGGAGGGGGGGTTCTGTACTTTCTATTCAAATTACACCTTCCCTCCCACGTACTGCCAATGTGGATTCAGTTTTCAATTTCTGTCCCACACCCTTTTAGCTTTCCTTTCACTTCACTGATGCTCTCTCTCGTAAAAGTTGCTGCCTGTATCCCAGATTTTTAAAGAGAACAGAGCTTATCCCTTCAAACCAGAGCTACTGGCCTCCAGTTGGGGCCATGGTATATTGTATAAAAACCGAAAGAACTGCAGATGCTGTAAACCAGGAACGAAAACAAAGTTGTTGGAAAAGCTCAGCAGGTCTGGCAGCATCTGTGAAGAAAAAAAAGTCAAGAGTTAACGTTTCCGGTCCAGTGACCCTTCCTCCTCATCTCAGAACAGGCTTAAAACACTGACTCCCACTGACATGAAAGGTAGCCATTTCTTCCTTGTACTTTACCTGTAGGGACTGTGAATGAAGGAGCAGAGACCTTCTCCGGCCTAATCCTCTTACGGATACAATGGATTGACTAATTTTAAAAGAAAAACAGGCCCCAACCACTGCTCCTGGGCCCTGGGGGTGTCTGGATAATTAATTTCATCTGTAATGCAGAAAGTGTTATTCAACTCTATTATTGTTTAAATGGGGTGAATACTGAACAGCATTCGGTCAGCCAATGAGTTGGAATTGGTGCTTTCAATTTATTAAATCTCCAAGCTCTCAATTCCCACGTAAGCAAATAAACTCTCTCAGGTCCAGCAAAAGCGCAGTGTGTGGAAGATAGTTATACATTATATGCTTACAGCAGTTAAAGTGATTTACAGCAGAACAGCCTCCAGTTAAGAGTTCTGAGGAAGGGTCACCGGACCCAAACATTAACTCTGATTTCTCTTCAAAGATGCTGCCAAACCCTGCTGAGCTTTTCCAGTAACTTCTGTTTTTTTTTCTTCAATTGAGAGTGACCGGGCAGTTCGCCAAGCATCTCCATTCTGATCAGGATTTGAGTCCTCAGTGTAGGCCAAATGCCAAGATATAACATGAGATATATAAGCATCTAGAACCCAAAACCAGGCCCTTATACTCTGCGCAGTGAGGTATGTGATAAAGCCTTTGATTCAGAAACAAGGACTGCCTGTAGAAACAGACATTCCAGAACTGACACCATTTCTTCTATCAATTTCCAAGCAGCAAGCTTTACTAACGATGAGTACCCAAGAAAAGCTTGTTCTGACAAAACACTGCATTGTTTCCTTGATGGTATATCCTGCTGCTGCTGAAACCACTGTAGCTGTTTGATACCGAGCTTTCAGGCTAATGCAGCATGTCCACTCTCTTCTGGCTCCTGGTTAAAACCTAGTGTATGTTAAGCTTTTGCTAAATCCAACCTGTCCACATGATCTCATCGGTTCCCCTCTTGGATGTCATGAACCGATTCCCTTCGCCGAACCTGTGATGTGGAACTGCATGTCTAATGGAGCTGGAGAACAAGCTCCAACAACACCCTGTGATTTAAACCTGCCCCCACCCCCCACCCTCACAGTAGTCACTCCTTTCAGATAATCCTGCATCATTCCTTTCTCCTTCCCTCTCTCATTAATTTCAGTGGTGGAGGGTGTGGGTTGACACAATGTACAAGGGCTGATTTCTTGACAGACAAGGCCCTACCAATACGGTGCTAAATGGGGAAACATGGGTGGGTCTCTGCTGTCTCTGTCTCTCTGTTAAACAGCAATGGAGACCGCAAAAGGAGAAATTGAACCAACTCCCCGCTGTTGATCACCAATTCCCTGCTGCCGATCACCAACTCCCTGCTGCCGATCACTAACTGTCCAGTGATAACTGTTGGAAGGTGTGGGTATTTGGTTGACTGCCTGCAAAGGTCAAACAAGAGCCATTGTTGTGCCATTGGTTATTGATCTGCCTCCAGCAGGGTCTTTCTGGATGATGTAACAACGCTTAGATCCTGGAGTTTAAAGACTAGACGTGGGTGACATGGTATTGAAAGATTTTTTTTTTTTACAGCTCCTGGTATTAGACTCACTTCAGTGTCTGAGCTAATATTAGACTATTCAGTTACAAATGGTAGCACATTTCCATTAGCGTGCCGTGCTCCAAGTGGCCCTAGTTGAGATGGCGTCTGAGATCTTTATTCCCTCAGGTCACACACTATGATACAATGATGATATCTCCCAGTGAGCCTGTATCCTAAAGGTGTACTGCATACTAAATGTGAGACATAACAAAAGCGGTTATGGCAGATTGCTTTCCCAAAGAAAGGATGAGCATAAAGAATTAGAGATGGAAATATGTTCATTGATTGCAAAGCCACTATTTTCATTTCCATTGGCACAGTTTGTTCTGTCGATGTGACTTTTTTTTTCCCCCTATTTGTGTTGTCTTTCATATCCCTCCCCTTGGTTTTTCACAGCCCCACACGGTGGGAGCACATGTGGAGGAAATGCGCAAGTTCCTGACTGAATACTTGGAGCTGAGAGACCAATTCTGCTGTTTTTTTCCTTCCCTCTGCCTAATGAGCAGATATGCATGGCCCTTGTGGTGATGTCTGAGTTTAGCCGATGTGTGGGAGGTGGCAGGAGGGTGGGGTACATGAACATAGACCATTTGTCACTCCTCTGGTATGCACTGTTTATTGTGAGGCCCACAGACTGGCAGGAGTTGTTGAGAATGTTATACTCTATTACATTTTTTGAAGTTGTGAGCCCTTTTGTGACTGAGAGGCTGACTTCGTCCACAGCTAGAGGCCTAGGAATCTGGAAGGTTGTGCCTGTGTTCCTGTTACTAAGCAGTGAAGAAAAGTTCTTCATTTTTTCACCAGTTGCTAGGAAATATGGCACAGATTGTGCCTTCATTGGCTGTTTGGAAATCGCAAAAATACCAGCATTTTACTGTTAATGATTTGCATTTTAGCAGCTAAAGTATATTGTTTAAGTTTATTTCCTTTGATGAACTAAAGATATGTTGGGATCAGTTAGGTAAAAGAAGGGTTAATATTCCAAGGAGCACCTGATCTTGTTTTCCCTTGGGTTTTATAGTTTTCATTTCTAAAGTTAGCCTCAAAAAAAACAGCTCTGTGTCATTTAGAAAAGAAATTAAAGACTGAAGAAGCTCAGCAGGTCAGGCAGCATCTATGGAGAGAGAAAGAGAGTTAATGTTTCAGGTCAGCAACCTTTCATCAGAACGTTTCAGCATCTGCAGTGTTTGCTTTTGTACCCATTCCACTTAAATACTTTGCTCATCTAAGAAAGGAGACTTGCACTGATGTTGACATAATACCCTGAAGCAGTGTTGTAATGTTGGAATGAGATCCCACAATCCACAGTGTGATAATGATGGACTAATCGCCACAGGAGAATTCCCTTTCCCTTTGAAATAGTGCAATGGGATCTTGCTGGTTCACGTGACAACAACTTGCATTTAAATAGCATTTCAACACCACAAAACCAGGCACCTCAGCTGAGCATCTGAGAAACTTGTTTCGTTAAAAACAGTGCAAGTCTGCCCTGGGGTATAAATCCCACTGTACTTGTTTCGAGCAAGTAACATTTCCCAGGATTTGTGGAACTTAAGTGACAGGTGAAAAGCTGTCTGGAAGTGGTCCTTGTACCATGGGTGCCAGATAAAGGCTACTGAGGTCAAAGGAGGAATGTTACTGAATGTCATTAGAAGAAGCCGTCACCAAAACAATATTGTCCTTTGTTTGGAAGCAAAGGTTGTATGGGTTCACCGGACTGGAATTTACAAGAACATAAAAAAGCATTGTGCAAATTGAAAGAGCAGAGGCAGAGAAAACTGCTCCGATCATTATGGATTTACTGTGAGAAGGAGCTGTGTGTCAGTAATAGATTTCTAGAATTTCTTCTGAGCTCGCAGGACTCGGTTACATGACTAAGCTACCTCTCACTTTGTCCAATTGTGGCTTAGACTAATGGAGCAAATGGGTGAAGGCACATTTACAATTAGACCTGGACAGATCAGAAACTCCCCTGGTCTGGGCTGAATTAATTGTTCCCAGTCAGGACTGTGCAACTGGACCAATGACAGCATAGTGGTTATCTACTGGGCTAGTTATCCATGGGCCCTGGCTCACGTTTTTTTGGGGGTAAAGTGGCTTCACGTTGGCTGATAGGGTTTAAATTCATTTAAGTTAAACCTGGATTTGAAAGCATATCTCCAGTGACCATAAACCCAATTGGTTCTTTAATGTCCCATTGGGAAGGAAGTCTGCCATCCTTACCTGTTTTGAGCTACACCTGACTCCAGACCCATGACATTGCAGTTGACTCTAAACTGCCTGCTGAAATGATGTGGCAGGGCACTCTGTTCAGGGACAACCACGGATACTGGCCTTGCCAGCGACATCCACGTACCACATAAGAGTTTATAAAAAATGGCCCCCATGAACTTGGATAGGAGGGTCAGCATTGTGTAGTGACTGAAAATGGATCCCTACTGTCCAGCTGCTACACTGGATAGTCAGAGGATCAAACCTTCATCTCCCCCTGTGCTGGAAGAATATTTGGAGTCTAGGTTAGACATCCGATAGCTGACAGGGTGAGGTTGCTGTTGCTATGGTCCTGTACTCCAGGAACAGGGAGCAGCAATATGATTGGAAGTTGGAGAATCTCGAATCAGAGTCACAAAAGCAGCCTCTATGATGGCTGTTGGAAAGGGTCCTCCGAATCAAAGGCCGCTCAGCTGGGAGTCGACGTGAGACAGACAGAACTCCCAGAACAAAACGCCTCTTACAATTCACGGCCAAGACAACGAATTGCAGCTTTGTACAGATGTGATGGGTTTACCAGAGCGATAATGGTAGCTTCCATGATCTCGTCTTTATTCAGTGTTGTAGCCAGTAATTATCTACAGCAGGCCTCAGATTGCTCTCTGCTTCCGGCTTTATTCCGAAAGCTGTTTATCTTCCTCTGCTGCTCTCTCTTTTGGATTTCTCCCATAGAGGATGTGAGCAATCTGGTGTTCTGCTAGCAGGGAGCCCCGCTCTCTGCAAAAAGACCACAGTTCTATCTATGACAGGGTGCTGTGTTAAAGGTGCTTTATAAATGCAATTTGTTGTTGCGTTCTGCTGCAAACCCAGGCCCGCAATGAGTACCCACTTGAGTTCAGTGCACTCATTGCTTCTTGGACACAGTCTTGCTCCGGTGGGAGTTAGCTCATGTGGGCCCACGTCAATTTGAACAACAGAGGAAAACCACCATAATACCCCAATTCCTATCTGGAGCAGACACACGAGTGTTGAAAAATATTTGTTTCTTAAATCTTTCTGAAGACAGACAAGATAACATTTGATGTTTGATTCAGTTTAGAAGGCTGCTTTATTCCCAACTAGTAAAGGGACAAGATATGAGCAGTTTTACTGGTCTCAAATAATGCAAAAATTTTTGGCGCCTCTTCCAATCTGGTGTTTGCTGAAAGTAAAACAACCTCACTGTGGTCTGTCCTATAGCCAAGTTAGGAACACTCTATCACAGGACACTGTCATTGGGCTGGCCTCCCAAATTAGCCTGATGTCAGTGGTGGGGAAGCTGCTGGAGAAGATACTGAGGGATAGGATCTATTTACATTGGAAGAAAATGGGCTTATTAGTGATAGGCAGCATGGTTTTGTGCAGGGAAGGTCATGTCTCACCAACTTGATAGAATTCTTTGAGGAAGTGACAGAGTTGATAGATGAGGGAAGGGCTGTAGATGTCATATACATGGACTTCAGTAAGGCAATTGATAAAGTTCCCCATGGTAAGCTGATGGAGAAAGTGAAGTTGCATGGGGTCCAGGGTGTACTAGCTAGATGGATAGAGAACTGGCTGGGCAACAGGAGACAGAGTTGTAGTGGAAAGGAGTTTCTCAAAGTGGAGAACTGTGACCAGTGGTGTTCCACAGGGATCCGTGTTGGGATCACTGTTGTTTGTGATATACATAAATGATCTGGAGGAAGGTATAGATGGTCTGATTAGCAAGTTTGCAGATGACACTAAGATTGGTGGAGTAGCAGATAGTGAAGGGGACTGTCGGAGAATGCAGCAGAATATACATAGATTGGAGAGTTGGGCGGAGAAATGGCAGATGGAGTTCAATCCAGGAAAATGCGAGGTGATGCATTTTGGAAGATCCAATTCAAGAGCGAACTGTACGGTAAATGGAAAAGCCCTGGGGAAAATTGATGCACAGAGAGATCTGGGTGTTCAGGTCCATTGTACCCTGAAGGTGGCAACGCAGGTCGATAGAGTGGTCAAGAAGGCATACGGCATGCTTTCATTCATCGGACAGGGTATTGAGAACAAGAGTTGGCAGGTCATGTTACAGTTGTATAGGACTTTGGTTCGACCGCATTTGGAATACTGCGTACAGTTCTGGTTGCCACATTACCAAAAGGATGTGGATACTTTGGAGAGGGTGCAGAGGAGGTTCACCAGGATGTTGCCTGGTATGGAGGGCGCTAGCTATGAAGAGAGGTTGAGTATATTAGGATTATTTACATTAGAAAGACGGAGGTTGATGGGGGACCTGATTGAGGTTTACAAAATCATGAGAGGTTTGGAAAGGGTGGACAGCAAGAAGCTTTTTCCCAGAGTGGGGGACTCCATTACTAGGGGTCACGATTTGAAGGTGAGAGGGGAAAAGTTTAAGGGAGATATGCGTGGAAAGTTCTTTACGCAGAGGGTGGTGGGTGCTTGGAACGCGTTGCCAGTGGAGGTGGTAGAGGCGGGCATGATAGCGTCATTTAAGATATATCTAGACAGATACACGAATGGGCAGGGAGCAGAGGGATACAGATCCTTGGAAAATAGGTGACAGGTTTAGATAGAGGATCTGGATCGGCACAGGCTTGGAGGGCTGAAGGGCCTGTTCCTGTGCTGTAATTTTCTTCATTCTTTGTTCCTTATGCCCGAATGAACTGGCATTGTTTAGACTCCACTTTAGAGGCATCTCCAGTTTGGGGATTGACAAAAGCAGACGTGGTGAGTGGGCCAAAACAGGACAAAATCGTAAAAAAATAAGTGCACACTGAAATCCTAATGACGCAGGCAATCTGTGCCTGAACTTGTTTTGCAGGAGCATCCTTTGCTCGATGTCTCTTTATGTCGATATCTGACAAAAACCATCCTGAAAGTTTCAATTGGCACCCTTTTGGGGAAGAAATTTATCAATTTTTGACCCAGTTTTGTGCAAAACAAGCAAATGGTTCTTGACTCCCTTCCTCGATGACCTTGTTGTAAGTTAAAAATTATGCTTCATTTTTGATTTTTCCACCCTGCTAATCCTGTGGTATTTAACACATTGAGGTTTGTGGCTCATTTTAATTTGTTCTGGCTGCTTTCTCTTGACCTTCTTCCTGCATAGCTGCCACAGTCCCTGACCAAAAGACAGTGACCCTCGATGTGGATGTCAATAACCGCTCAGACCGTGTTGAATGGTGCAGTTGCTATTACCATGGCAACTACTCGATAAATGCTGCGTTTGAAGTCAAGTTGCATTGGATGGCAGTAACATCAGCCGTGCTCTTTGAAATGGTAGGTGGCATCAGACAGCACAGTTACACCTTCAGAAGGAATAGACACTCTTGTCTCTTGCTACATGTAATCTTTCCTAACCAGCACCAGGTCCAGAGAACATTGGAGAAACTGCCTGACAACATCCTGAGGAAAAGGTGGTTAATGTTTTGAGTCTGGCCTGACTCTCCAGAACTGAAAGTCCCGAGAAAATAGGTTTTTTTTAATGCTTTTGACAGATGCAGAAAGTATTGTATTTTCTACACTCAGCTCGAAACATGAACCACTTTCTCTCCACAGATGCTGCCAGACCTGCTGAGTTTCTCCAGCATTCTCTGTGTTTGTTTCAGATTCCCAGCATCCGCGGCATTTTGCTACCGAGTTTCCACCAGTCCCTGACACCTGATTGTAATCCAGGTATAGAGCTTCTGGAATCTATAAAGTTTGCCAATGAGGAATTTGGTCCTCACTGTTTATTTTCATAGAATAGGGGCCGGCACGGTGGCTCAGTGATTAATATTGCTGCCTCACAGCATCAGGGACCCAGGTTCGATTCCACCCTTGGTGATTGTCTGTGTAGAGTTTGCATGTTCTCCATGTCTGTTTCCTCTAGGTGCCCCAGTTTCCTCCCACAGTCCAAAGATGTGCAGGTTAGATGGATTGGCCATGCTAAATTGCCTATAGTGGCCAGGGATGTGTAAGCTAGGTGGGTTAACCATGGTAAATGTGGGGTGGGTCTGGGTGGGATGCTCTTCGATTGGTCCGTATGGTCTCAATGAGCCGAATGGCCTTGTTCCACACTGTAGAGATTCTGTAATTTTCTGCCTGCCTGTTTTATAGCAAAGCCAGCATTTATTGCCCAACCCCCGAAGCTGATGGTGAGTCACTTTCTAGGACAGCTGTACCACATGTGATATAGTGCTGTTCGAGAGCAGTTTCAGATTCTAACCCAGGGCAATAAAAGAACAGGATGTTTCCAAGTCAGAAAGGTATTTAACTTTATGGGGATCTTGCATGTGGTGGAGTTCCTATGCATCTTCTGCCCTTGACCTTATAAGTGGCAGAGGTCAAAGTTTTGGAAGATGCTTTCAAAGGAGCCTTGGTGAGTTTCTGCACTGCATTTTATTGATGGTACACCCTGCTGCTACTGAGTGTTGGTGGTGGAGATAGTGGGTGTTGAAGTAGATGGGGTGTGGGCCAGCTGTACTGGTTTGACCTGGATGGTGTTGAGCATGTTGACTTTTAACTATATTCCCAGCCAGAGCAGTAAGGTTTGTTCTTGGCTTGCAACCAGAAATGAGAGATGAAGGCATCCAGCATCTGAGCCAAGAGTATACAGGCTTGGTGTAAGTAAAACGGGAGACCACCCTACTATAGGAAGGATGTTATTAAACTGCACTGGATGCAAACCAGATTTAAGAGGATGTTACTGAGGGTTTGAATTATAAGGAGAGGCTGTGACGTCTTTCCCCCTGGAGCATAGGAGACTGAGGGGTGACCTTCAAGGTTTATAAATCATGAGGGGACATAGATACAGTGAATTGCCAAAGTTTTTTCTCCAGGGTAAGGGAGTCCAAAACTAGAGGGCATAGGTTTAAGGTGAAAGGGGAAAGATTTAAAAGGGAACTGAGGGACAACTTTTTCATACGGGGAGCGTTATGCATAAAAGGAATGAGTTGCCAGAGGAAGTATATTCCCTATGACCTAATAACAAACCAGTCCAACCCTCTGGTGTGACAGGATGCGTGTGAATTTGTAGAGAAGGTTCTGATGTATTCTGAGATGGCTGGGGAGAAAAGCTTGCAGTCCTGAAGGTGAGTTACAGTAATCAACCACAAAATGAGAAATGTTTTACCAGTAGATTTTTTTTTTTAAAAGCCTGTGGCATCTTTCATTACAATCATAAAACAGCAGGTATTTGCTCACTTCTCTTTGCACTTCAAGGAGAGACCAAAGAGTATTTTTAGTATAAAACAATAACTTTTTGAACTGAATCATTCCTTTTCAGTCATACATTCTTAACCATGAAGTAAATGACCATTAAATTGGTTTCTTTTTCACAAATCCATCCTCACCTTCTCCCAATTCCTTTAACCTCTACTCTGTTCAGACTTGCCTCCTGCACACACTGGTGCTCTTTTCCCATCATGCTCTTGCTCCTTCTCTTTTTGCCCCCTTTTCTGACATTCTATGTCATCTTTTCAGCTATTTCCTGATTCCGTCTCTCTATTTTCACATTCCACTTCTCCCCATTTCCTGATTCTCTCCCTGTTTCTTTCCTCCACCTCATTGTCATTGTTTTATTTCAATTTTTTTGTCAATAAGAAAGTGAATGTAGGTAAAAATGTCAAAGATCTCCATCAACACAAACAGCTGATGCGCTTGAAGTTGAGATTTGTTGTCCCTGATGAGTCACTGCTGACGCTGTGTCAAACACGCATAAAGTTCTGGGTTATGTAGCAAGTTAATGGCTGGTACCTTTCAAAATGACTCTAGATTGCTACATGACGACTGAATAACTATCTGACAGTCTGTTTCATTAGCTCTGCCTAATTTTATCTAAATTAAGCATGGTGATGATTTGCTTTCTTAACCATATAGCAGTGTCTCACTGAATTCCAGCTCTCAAACATGCTGTCATATCTTTAGTCAGAATCCACTTTGGCTGGGAGTGACTGTGATCACAGAAGCAAATGTCAACGTCACCAGCTGTTCAACACTGCTCAGCAAAGTGACTCAGCACCAGCCACAGGGATCTAGAAATCGGCGATAAATACCTGCCAAGTCCAGAGACTGAATTCTCAGAGTTTGCAACGAGACTTGCGTGGTGGCCCTTCATTTGGTAGCTCATCACCTAGCAACCAGTTCTTCTCTTGTATCGAATCTTTTTCGTATCTTGTTTCATTGCTTCCACATTTAGAGTCATAGAGCACGGAAACAGACCCTTCGGCCCAACTCGTCCATGCTGACCAGATATCCTAAATTAATCTAGTCCCATTTGCCAGCGTTTGGCCCATATCCCTCTAAACCCTTCCTATCCATGTACCCATCCAGATGCCTCTTAAATGTTGTAATTGTACCAGTCTCCACCACTTCCTCTGGCAGCTCATTCCATACACACACCACCCTCTGCGTGAAAAAGTTACTCCATAGATCCTTTTTATTTCTTTCTCCTCTCATCTTAAACCTATACCCTGTAGTTTTGGTTACCATATCCTGGGGAAATGACCCTGACTATTCACCCTATCCATGCTCCTCATGATTTTATAGGCCTTTATGAGGTCACCCTTCAGCCTCTCAAATTCCAGCCCAGCCTAGTCAGCCTCTCCCTATAGCTCAAACCCTCCAACCCAGTCAACATCCTTGTAAGTCTTTTCTGAGCCCTTTCAAGTTTAACAAAATCTTTCCTATAGCAGGGAGACCACAACTGAACATGGTATTCCAAAAGTGACCTCACTAATGTCCTGTACAGCCACAACGTGACCTCCCAACTCCTATACTCCATGCACTGACCAATAAAGGCAAGTGTGCCAAACACCTTTCTGATGAAGGGTCTAGGACCGAAACATCAGCCTTCCTGCTCCTATGATGCTGCTTGGCCTGCTGTGTTCATCCAGCTCTGCACCTTGTTGTCTCAGATTCTCCAGCATCTGCAGTTCCTACTATCTCTGATACCTTCTTTACTATCCTGTCTACCCACCAATCGAGTTTCAAAGAACTATGAACCTGCACCCCAAGGTCTCTTTGTTCAACAACTCTCCCCAGGACCTTACCATTAAGTGTATAAGTCCTGCCTGATTTGTCTTCCCAAAATGCAGCACCTCACATTTATCTCAATTAAACTCCTTCTTCACCTGTCTTCTGCTCTCTTAATCTTACTCATTTTTGAGAACAGGATTCATTTGAAGTTTCAGTTATGAGATTGTGTATTTGTTAGGGTTTAAAGGGCAGGTACAGAATAACCGTGATCTGATAGAATGGTCATAGAAACCCTGGAGCTCTGCAGCTGGTTTCTTTGTTTCCTGCAGCTGGTTTCTTTGACTTTTTTTACTCAAAGTTTTCCATATGATTTCACTTTTCAAAACTGATGAAAATTCTTTCAGGAGGGCAATTTTACCCCCAGAAAGACAGTGGGTTTTGGTCTTGTGGGAAGCAAGAATGTTTCCAGCAAGAATCTCATACCCAACTCCACTCCACTCATCTCTGTTCTAACAGAGGCAGGAATTGATTTTAAAATGTATTCTTTCATCGGATATGGGTGTTGCTGGTAAGGCCAGCATTTGTTGCACATCTGTAATAGTCCCCGTACCAAATCTCCTCTTCGGCCATTTCAGGGGGCAGTTAAGAGTCAACCACATTGCTGTGGGTCTGGAGTCACGTGTAGGCCAGACTGGGTAAGGATGGCAGATTTCCTTCCCAAAAGGACATTAGTGAACCAGATGAATTGAATAATTGAATTTAAATTTCTTCAGCTGTCACATGGGAACTTGTTGAACAGTTGAGGGTAGATGCCCTGACCATTGCAGTGCAGCAGCACAGTGGTTAGCACTGCTGTCTCATAGCCCCAGGGACCCAGTTTCGATTCCACCCTCGGGTGACTGTCTGTGTGGAGTTTGCACATTCTCCCTGTGTCTGCATGGGTTCCCTCTGGGTGCTCCAGATTCCTCCCACAGTCCAAAGATGTGCAGGCTAGGTGGATTGGCCATGAGAAATGCAGGGATAGACTAAGGGGGTGGGTCTGGGTGGGATGCTCTTCAGAGGGTCAATGTGGACTCGATGGGCAGAATGGCCTGCTTCCACACTGTAGGAATTCTATGATTCACTGTGGGCAAGATAGATCCTGGTTCTTCTCCGTGAGCCTGTGCCAACAGGAATAAGAGTCAGTGAAAGATATGGCCAAAGTGGGCAGAGGTACCAGCTGCTAATCACTATTTGACAACTAACTGCAAACTTTGTTTTAACTGGCACCTTGATCAACCAGCATTCTCGATAAACTGGCAAATGTTCAATACCACGATCCACCGTGATCGTCCAAGTATTTATGCTGTAAAGTATAACAGTGATGTGCAGTCATTGCGTTTCAGTCACTTACTAGGTGTTTTACGTTGATTTTAGGAGATGTGTTGATGTTTTTGAGGGATGTTGAAGCCTCGAAGCTTTGTTTAGTCAGGGTTTACTGCGGCGATGCGTAGCTCTTCATTCTCCGGAATATTTGATCAACCAGCACACTCCTGGTTCCCATGGACCCCGGTTAATAAAATGTTTGCTGTAACTGCAAACCATTGTAGCTGGAACACAGCAGGGCATAGAGTCAGCTTGCTAACCGGGCCTGGTTAAGTCACAGGCTGATTAACACGTCATCAATTTACTCACCTAGGTGCAAGGCTGGCACAGAAAGGCCACTTCTTGCGGGTTTCTCTTGGTGCCTGTCCTCGAGGGTCCGTTTGCTCTACCCAGCTACCTGTATGGAGACCCACTGCGAACACAGCTTTTCATCCCCCTTAATATCAGCTGCTTGGTGAAGGAAGGCACAGAGCATCTCTTTGATGGTAAGTGTCTCGCTGTCTTACCTTACACTGAGAGGAATCAAATAATTAAACTGTCAGGAGGGTTTCAAGGAAATGTCGTGGTGAAGGGGCTGGAACTCTCACTGTTATCCCCCTCCAGGAGGCAAACTCATTTCTTTTTCAAGAGCTCTTCCTGGGGACTATATTTTGATTTTCAGGTGTAGTTTTTGCATTTTCAGGGGCTACGTTTTCATTCTCACTAACTACTAGAGTGTAGCACAGAAACAGACCCTTCAGTCCAACTCGTCCATGCCGACTAGATATTCTAAATAAATCTAGTCTCATTTGCCAGCATTTGGCCCATACCCTCTAAACCCTTCCTAGTCACATACCCATCCAGATGCCTTTTAAATATTGTAATTGTACCAGCCTCCACCACTTCCTCTGGCAGCTCATTCCAT